AGATACTTGATATGATTTCAATTGTTTTACATTTGTTGAGATTTGCTTTGTGGCCAAACATGTGGTCTATCCTGGAGAATGTTCCATGTGTTGATGAAAAGAATATGCATTCTGCCGCTGTTGGATGAAATGTTCTGTAAATGTCTGTTAGGTCCATTTGGACTGAAGTGCTGTTAAAATCCAGTATTGCTTTATTGGTTTTCTGTCTAGATGATTTGTCGAATGCTGAGAGTGATATGTTGAAGTCCCCAACTATTTTGAATTAGAGTCTGTCTCTCCCTTTATTTTATTTTTTTAGAGACAGAATCTCACTTTGTCACCAGGTGGGAATGCAGTGCCATGATCATGCCTCACTGCAGCCTTGAATTCCTGGGCTCAAGTGATTCTTCTGCCTCAGTCTTCCAAGTAGCTGGGACTACAGGTATGTGCCACCATGCATGGCTTAAAAATTTTTTGTTTCCAGAGATGGGGTCTCATTTGCTTCCTTGCCTTTTGGCTAAGATCAAATGTAGAGATGAAGTCTTGCTATATTGCCCAGGCTGGTCTTGAACACCTGGCCTTAAGTGATCCTCCTGCCTCAGACTCCCAAGTAGCTGAGATTATAGGCACAAGCCTTGATATCTGGCTACTGTCTCTCCCTTTATAACTAATAATATTTGCTTGATATATGTCAGTGCTCCAGTGTTGGGTGCATATATATTAACAATTGTTATACCCTATTATTGAATTGATCCCTTTATCCTTATATAATGACCATTTTGTCTCATTTTACTGCTTTTGACTTAAAGTCTGTTTCATCCAAGTATTGCTACTTCTGCTTGCTTCTGGTTTCTGTTTGTTTGGAATACCTTTTTCTATCCCTTCTCCTTCAGTGTATGTTTCTGGCTGTTTTTAAAGGGTTTTCTTTGTCTCTAAACAGTTTTACTTTGATGTGCCAAAAGTGTGGGTGTAGTTTTCTTGTGTTTATTCTACTTGGATGTCTTAGCATTTTCTGAAGATGTGGCTCAATATTTTTTGTTTTTGGAAAATTTATAGTCAATAATCTCTTCAAATACTACTTTTGCTCTATTTTCTCTCTCTTCACTGTGTTCCAAATCTTTAATTTTGTTTTCTTTTTTTCTCCTTTTGTTTCAGTTTGTATGTTTCCTACTGATATTTTTTAGCTTTCTAATTCTTTCTCCAGCTGTGTCTACTCTTCTGTTAAGCCTATCTATCCAGTTCTTAATGTCAGTTATTATGTTTTTCAGTTTAACATTTTCTATGTGATTCTTTTAAAAAACAGATTCAAGCTCTCTGTTGAAATTCTCAACTTGGAATTAATTTTCTTTAATGTATTAATGACATTTAAAAAAAATGTATCTGAGAACTCCTATATACAAGTCACCTAAAAGTCTATTTTTATTATTTAGTCTTTCTCTGGTTTTTGGTCACTTGGTCTTATCTCTTGTTAAGTCTTGTAATTTTTTATTAAATGCTGGACATTGTAGTTAAGAAATTATGGTACAGATTTGAGGCTCTAAATACTACTTTCTTCCTCCAGAGAGATTTTCTTTTGTCTTATGTCAGGATCAAATCATCTTAATCTCATCTTGGATCAGGCTGGTTTAAATCTATGTTTCAGCTTTTGTAATGGCTGATTTATTTGTATATTCTAGAAATAAGATTAGGCCTTATTTTAAAACTAGAACTCATCAGAAGCCCCAATGGAAAGCTGGAGGTGCTTTCTAGATTCCTGTACTTATACCAGCCCGGAACTCTTTTTTTTTTTTTTTTTTTTTTTACCCTGAGTCCTAGGAGACTGCTGAAATCTCTGCTCAGCTTCTGGATCCTTCAGCTATTTGTGTGCAAATCTGCAAATTACTTCTGGAGAAAAACGCGGTCAGATGTCTGCTTCACATGAATGCTTTCATCTCTCTTCATGATTTTGGTTTTCATTTCCCTGTTAACTTTTCTTCATTTTCAAACCAGATTTCCTAGTTGTTTTTGACAAGGAGGCTGGTCTGATACGAGTCAATCTACCATATCCAGAAGCAAAATTAAGAGTATGGACTTTGGAATCAAACTTCCAGGATTCAAATCTCAGTTCCATCATTTACTTGCACTGTGATCATGAGCAAACTATTAACTTTTCTGAGCCTCAGTTTTCAATCTCTAAAATGTGGATAATATACTAGCTACCTTTTAGGGTTGTTGTGATAATTTAGAATGTGTGTGTGTAAACTTAGAAAAGTGCCCGGAACACTGAGATGCAAAAAATGCTATCTTGGTGTTTGCTATTATTATTTTTACTTGACCAAGTTTTTTTTGCCAATTATTTTCCATTGTATAATTTCAGTGATACATCCTTAATAGGCATCCACTGGCTACTGGATGAAGTCCAAACTCTATATCTGCTGTTCTCAGCCCTGGTAGAATAGCGGCGTAATCTGTGGTGCTTTTAAAACTCTTGAGACCCCAACCAAACTAGGCTAATTACATTAGAAGTTTTTAGGTAGGATCTAGGTATCAGAATTTCTAAGAGATCCCCAGGTGATTTTGGTATTGAGCCAACACTGAAAACCTTTGGCTTTCAAGATCACTAACAGTCTAGCCCAACCTATCTTTCTAATGATAATTCTCCTGTATCCCAACGTTGGGCATTTCCTTGTAGTGAGCCTATCTATTCAAGGTCCAGCCTTCCACGTATATGATCTGATGGCTCATGCAAGGCTCAGAGGCTGATGGTTTATCTCTTCTCCCTCCCTTCCATGGTGGTATGGGTGGGGACACAGGCATGAACCTCAGTCTCTGTCCCTTCCTTCTGGGCTTCATTTCCTTACCATAACTTGAATCTGTTTCATAGCAAAGTTTCCCATGTTTTCTTTTGTTTTGTTCTTCTTCCACTCCTTCCAGATCTTTTGCTAAAGACTTTTCACCTTTCTCTGTCCAAGACTAACACATCCTCCATTCCTCACTAGAAACACACTTTTCATCTAGTTTCCTAACATTATCAACTGACAGCATGGCATCGTAGCTAGTTTCTAATCATAAGGCTGGAGAAACCTGGCCTGTCCCCAGGAATCAACTTTGGACAACGTCATTCTCATTTCTACTTCTGTTTCTTTGGGCTACCTCATCGACCTAGAATATCTCTTTTCCTTCTCCTCTCTCTGCCAATTTGCAGTTTATTCCACCTTGAAGTTTCACTTCTTTTACTAAGCCAATTAAGCATCTCCAAAGCACACTGTTCTTCCACTTTTCCTGTGCTCCCACTTACCCTGTCTGTTCACAATTTTAGCTCCAAATTATATGTTCCAATGGAGGACCTTGAAACACAGTGGAAATTCAATACTTAATACTTCCTTGTTAGACCTACACAAAATTGTCAAAAAAAAAAAAAAAAAAAAAAAAAAAAAAAAAAAAAAAAAACAGCCTAAGCTGCAGATTCCCAACACTGATTTTCAGATCATTATCGGTGTCATTGCTATTTGCCCTAGAAGTGACGCGCATGTTGCTAAATGTCAGGGAGTTCTGAGAAGGTGCATGGGTTGGTAGGAATAGGTTAGGGAATTGCACTCACTTTCTACTGCTGCATAACAGATGACCACAACCACAGAGCTGAAAATGACACCGATTTATTATCTCACAGCTCTGTGGGTCAGAAGTCCAGGTGGCTTGTCTTTCTCTGCTCTGGATCTCACAAGGCCAAAATCAAGATGTTGGCCAGGCTGGGATCTTCTTGGAGGCTTTGGGGAAGAATCCACTTCCAACCTCATTCAGGTTGTTGGCAGATTCAGTTCCTGGTAACTGTGGGGCTGAGGTCCCCATCTTATTGCTGGCTAGGGGGTCACTCTCAGCCTATTGAGGACACGCTCAGATCCTTTCATGTGGCCCCCTTTAATCTCAGCAAAAGAGAAGTCCCCATGCATCGAAGTCTTCTGACTTCTTTTTCTGCTACCAGCTGGAGAAAATTCTCTGCTTTTAACTTGCCTTATTGGATTAAGCCCAACCAGCTGATTTCTCTATCTTAAAGTCTACTGACTTGAGTCTTTAATTATACGTGAAAAATTCTGGCTGGGTGTGGTGGCTCACACCTGTAATCCCAGCACTTTGGGAGGCCAAGATGGGTGAATTGCTTGAGCCCAGCAGTTTGTGACCAGCCTGGGCAACGTGGTGAAATCCCATCTCTACAAAATACAAAAATTAGTCGGGCATGGTGGTATGTGTCTGTAGTCCCAGCTACTCAGGAGGCTGGCTTAAGGTAGGAGAATGATTTGAGCTAGGAAGCCGAGGTTGCAGTAAGCTGAGGTTGTGCTACTGCACTCCAGCCTGGGCAACAGAGTGAGACCCTGTCTTAAAAAAATTCTCCACAGCAGTACCTAGATTAGTGTTGGTTGAATAACCAGGGTACGGGAGTCTTGGGGAACCATCTTTAGAATTTTGCCAACCACAGGACTGATGAAGCAGAAAGCCAGAGAACCAGCAAGGAAAGGACCACTTAGATTCAGTGGACCAGTGCCTCACGGAGCAACAAGCACTCTTCAGGATCACCTAGTCCTGCCCTTTTATTCTCTGGATTGGAACATCAATACTTAGAGAGGGGAAGGGAATTTATAATTAATCTTCTACACATCCACCTTGGGCCAGATGTTGTACTAAATGCTTATGGAGAATATAGAGATAAATAAGACTCAGCATCTGTGCTTAGGATTTTATTACCCATGCATCCAAAGTCCATGGAAGTTTTTCTTAAGAAAATAGTTTATTTAGTCCTTGGAAATTATAGAGTTGTGTGCTAGAAATGGACCTCACAGATCAAATGTTCCAGTGTTTCTTAAGAATAGAAACAGTGACTTTACGTGACATGTAGACCAACATTTTAAATTGTAATCATAATGTCTTAATGTTACCTTCTATTTATGGCAAATGATGCTATTTTCTCTGCATTACAATGACATAAAGTTTCCTTCTGCCCTCTTTTTTCCTTTTTTCAACTTGCATTTATGGATCACTTACTCTAGAAGACAACAGAAGATGGCACTGAAGGCTTTGGCTCTGGAAAAAGAGTTACCTGGATACTGATCCTGACATCTCTCACTTAAACTCTACAAGTCTCACTTTCTCATCAGATAGGTAAGGAGAAATATATTATTTAAGTGATATCATGTGTGTAAAGTGCTTAACAGAGGTGACATTGTAAGGATCTAATAGATGTTAGCAATTATAAAATTAATGCTTTTCTGATCCGAGAGGAAGGGGGATTTCTGCTAAGGGGAGCTGGGCCTTGTTTCCCTGACTTCTCTGGGGAGTGGCAGCAGTTCTCAGGGCCCTCATCCCTCTCCTCCCATCTCCTGGGCCATTTGAGAGCCTGGGAAGGTGCCTGAGATCTGGCACTTTCTGGAAAGAGAGGAAATGGATGCAGAAAGTAAAGAAAATATGGCCAGGCCTGATGGCTCATGCCCATAATCCCACTTTGGGAGGCTGAGGCTGAGGTTGGGAGTTTCAGACCAGCCTGACCAACATGGAGAAACCCCGTCTCTACTAAAAATACAACAATTAGCTGGGTGTGGTGGCGCATGCCTGTGATCCTAGCTACTTGGGAGGCTGAGGCAGGAGAATCGCTTTTACCTGGGAGGTGGAGGTTGCGATGAGCCAAGATCCTGCCATTGCACTCCAGCCTTGGTGACAGAGCCAGACTCCTTCTAAAAAGAATTTAAAAACTAAAGGAAATAATGGAAGGTGTCACCATATGGACATGCCTGTGGGAATTATCCATTTTTTGGAGAAGCAACAAACTCAGATTGGGCACCAGCAGACACCCACCTTTGGGTGCCCTCCTTGGAGAATCTTGCAGGGAACGAGGCAGCTGCATCTGTTCCCATTCTGTCTCTATCCTAAGCCTCCTCCCAAGTCACTCTCGCTCTTTGCCTCCTCTCTCTTTCAACAAATACCAGAGGAGTTGTTGAAATATCTCCTGTCTAAAAAATCTTCATGCTTTGTTTGGAGAAGGAAGGTGTTTCTCTCTTTTATAAGAAAAAGGACTACAGATGTCTGTCGGAGGAGGGAAAAGGGGGCTAGAGTCTGGCATTCAGATGGCCAGAGGCACCGGGTCACTTGGCAGTGGGTGAGAGGGGAGCTTCAGAAAGAAGATGGGAGAGCCTCCAAAACACTTATTAGCTCATAAAATGTCACCTGGGCTAACCTCTGAATGTTTAGGAAACTGCTTAGTGTATGCCACCAGTGGTAGACGTTCAAGGTGCTGTGCCACGCTGGTGGGGGAGATATTTTGTCAAGAGTTAAAGACAGAGCCCAATGATAGGTGCCTATTCTGCCAACACACAGGGTGGGTGTCTGCCAGTGAGAAGCCAAGCCACCTGTGCCTTGGCGATGCCCTCAGAGAGGCAGAACTCTTGGGGAAAGGAGATTGTGGGGCAAAGGCGAATGGTATGGTAGAAACCAGTTTTATACATCTTGATATTTTGATGCTATTTAAGTTATGAAGACATAGCCTATAGGTCTTCTGCCAGCCAACCATTGATTCATCATGGGAAATGGGTTGTGAGACTTTCTGGTTCAGAATGTTTTTCTGGGCCACCTCTCTGCTTAGATTAGGGAGTGAAAACAAGTGACATAGATTTAAAATAATAACTATCAACTGGGCACAGTGGCTCATGCCTGTAGTCCCAGCACTTTGGGAGGCAAGGCGGATGGATTGCTTGAGCCCAGGAGTTTGAGACTAGCTGGAGCCACATGGCAAAACCTCATCTCCACAACAAATACAAACTTTAGCTGTGTATGGTGGTGTGCACCTGTAGTTGCAGCTACGTAGGACACTGAGGTGGGAAGATTGCTTGAAAGGGGGTGGGAGGGTTGAGGCTGCAATGAGCTGTGATTACACCACTGCATTCCAGCCGGGCAATAGAGCAAGACCCTGTTTCAACGTAACAACAACAACAACAATAATAATAATAGTCATACACAGTGCAGTGAAACAAGACTTTTAACGCTACTGGTGGGAGTATAAATTTGTCTGATCTTTCTTGAGGCATTTGGGCAGTATCAAAAGTCTTAAAAATATTCATACACTTTATCCCAGCAATTCCACTTGTATGAATGTGTTCTAAGAAAATAGTTGGACAAGTGCACAAAGATCAGGATATAATGAAAACCATGATAGTTTTGTTCATAATCGTGAACAACTGAAAACAACCAAAATATCCAGCAATTAGAGATTGGATAATAAATGAAGGTAACTTCATAGAATACTACACATCTATTGAAAAGGACACTGCTGCTGTCTCATATATACATTGAAACAGAGTTTTGCTCTTGTTGCCCAGGCTGGAGTGCAATGGCACGATTTCAGCTCACTGCAACCTCTACCTCCCGGGTTCAAGCGATTCCCCTGCCTCAGCCTCCTGAGTAGCTGGGATTACAGGCATGCACCACCACACCCAGTTAATTTTTTTGTATTTTAAGTAGAGATGGGGTTTCTCCATGTTGGTTAGGCTGGTCTCGAACCCCTGATCTCAGGTGATCTGCCCGCCTCAGACTCCCAAAGTGCTGGGATTACAGGCATGAGCTGCCACACCCGGTCTCATATTTATTGATAGGGAAAGATGGTTGTAATATTTTACGTGAGAAGAGCAGGTTCCAGGACAGTATATTCATTATGATTCTATTTTTATAGATAAAAGTAGATAAATTCCTCTATTTCAGTAATTTTTTTTCTCCCAGAACATTATTTCATTAAAGGTGACTTTTTGCTGAAACACTGCACCACGTGGACACCCAGTTTTACGCAGGTTACTGCTCCAGATTATAGTGCCATGTTGTGAAGGTTACAGGGAGAGTGTATACATTACTTTGCATAGTGTCTGATACATAGTAGTGCTTACAGGTAGAAAAAGTAAGTATTGCTTTTGGAAACTCTCTTAAAGTTGTAAAGAGACTGTTCCTCTAGAACAGTTTGGTATTTTAATAGAATAGAAACTATGATATAAAAATTGGCAAAGTTTGGTATCCTGAATACATGTAGTTGATATGATCTCAACCTTGAAAAAATTGTACATGCACCCATAAGAAAAGTCTGTAAAAATATAAATAAAAATGTTAACAGTGTTTGAGTAATGCTGGATCACGAGTAACTTTTATTTTTTTGCTATAACCCACCAGCCTCATGTGAATAGAACAGACAAGTCTTCATTTCTGTCCTTCTTTTCACTCAAAGTTTTTTAAAAAAGACTTTAATTACTGATATAAAGTAAAACAATTACTTGTGGGTTGGCTGAGAATTGCTAGAAATTAATAAATAGTTTGGAAATATTTAGTAAATTCTAATTACTTAGCAAAAGTAATTAAAATATTTATAAGTGAACACCCATAAACCACCACCAAGCAAATACATTACTCAATAAATGGTTTAATTAGTATTTCATTACTAGAAATTAATCTCAGTAACGAAACATTACTACAAATTACATGTAAGATAGACAACTTATTTTACTGCTATTAATGATTTCAATTACTAAGTTTGTGCAAGCCTAATTCCTTCCCACTTCCCCCACTCCCTCCTCCCGCTCCCACCCAGGCAAGTTCCCACACACTGGATCTGAATTAGGATGTTTGGGGCTGGTCTGGAACTGCATTGTTGGGAATCCCAGGCACATAGATTAACAATTTCCCTTGGCTTATTTCTTGGTTGTCTTGCTGAAATACAGGCCCTGGGTACCTCTTAATCAGCTAGAATCAGACTCCAGGGGCTGCTGGGCTTCTTACTGCAGATATACTCTCCTCTGGAGTCTTCTAAATCACTTGGCTGCAAGGATCTATTTCTTCCCCTCTCCTGTGCCAAGGTCTTTCTGGCACTGGCTTGTATCCCTGGTCCACATGCCAGGCTGGGTGGGTGAGGGTGGGCCGGGCTACCACCAAGTCATCAGAGGGCATTATTATGCAGATTAGAAAAAGCAGTCTCTTCCTCCAGACACAGGCGGTCACACACCAGGGTGGATTTCAGCTTTCAATTGTTTTTTTTGGTCAGGTTCACCAAGAAACAGATTCGAGATTTGCATGCAGGAGTCTTATTGGGGAACACTTTCAGGTAGTTCCCATGTAGGAACTACCACTCCAGTCTGAGAGCAAGGACTGTGCAGAAGGAGAAGTTGAATGACTCCATGGAAAGCTCTGAAGCTGGGAAAATTCTTCCAGAATGTCTTGGATTGAGACAAGGGGTGGGGATTGTGATTTCAAATTGTTACCCATACAGTCATGGGTTGCATCACTTGGGTGACAGCCCGCTGACCACAACCAAGGAGGATTTAACAGGGGATTTCATTACTAGTAACAAGTAAAGTGCACACTGGGGATAGTTCCCAAAGCAGTGCCTCCCAGGGGTGGCCTGTGGGTGTGGTTTACTGCTGGCATAGCTTTGATGCATGAGTTGTTCCAGTGTTCTGCTGGCGCTGGGGCATGTGTCGTTTTTGGTGTTAGAGTGGACTCTTACTGGGTCTTCTGCCTAGACCATAAGCTCCAGGAGGGCAGGCTCATGTCTCATGGTATCCCCAGACCTTAGCCCAGTTCATGGCTCCATTAATATTTGCTGATTGAATGTATAAGACTAAAGACAAATGGTCACTTAAATACACTAATGTAAACTTGATACACTTGACAAAGGGAAACAGAATCTGATCTAATCTGAGGGGTCAGGGGAGGCTTCTCCAAAGAAGTGACGCTTGAGCTGAGACCCAAGGACTTGGTAAGAGTGAACCAGGCAAAATGAGGGGAGGCGGGTGCTTCCCAAGCCTCCCCTGGATAGGCGTTTGGCTCTGCCACCTCCTATGTGTGTCTCCTGGGAGGAAACAGAACTGAGAAGGCATGCTCACTGAATTTCTGTTATCTGTTGCTGAAATGTATCCTTTGTCCCTATCACAGCCTTATCTTGTACAAGATTCATGTGTCAGAGAGCTCGTTTCCACCAGACCTCAGCCCAGGCTGCTGTGGGATGGAATTGCCTACACCTGGATGTGCTTGCTGGGCTGGGAAATACAGGCAAGGCATCATGGCTGGAGGTGGAGGGGGCCTAACCCGGGTTTGCCCAGGGAGGATTTTGCGTATGTATGATACATGTCTTGGAG